AGCATATATGAAATTTGTAAATGAAAAATGTATAGATTATGAATTTAAAGTTGGTAAAACTGTTTGAATAAAAAAATTTTGTTCCACGCACATCTCAAACAAATGAAATTTTTGTCATTGGTTGTCGCACTGAATTAACAAAATGCAAGATCACCATGGATAAAAAATTCACATTTACTTCACATAGTCATCCAGAATTCTTTCATTGGCACACATTAATCCTTTGTCAAAAGAGATACTTGAAATCAAGTAAAAAACAGTCAGTCTCCTTGAATTGTAAGAGTACAAATCTCCAGATGTACTTTCTACAGGATATAAACAGACAACTTATAATAAACGGAAAAATCAGTTGAATTCACTAATCCAAAAATATATCCTGAAACCACTACATATTTCCACACGGCTATGTTAAACATCAGATACGATTTATTCCACATCTGAAAAAGAAAAACATAGTTGTAAATATACAAGCTATTACAATTACAGTATGTGACAATTTTAATGTTTACAAAATACAAGATGTTTTCGGAAAGTCAGTAATGAAGCTAAAAATAGAAATTAACTTTACCTTTCCTATTTATAGGTCTAAAAATAACTTTGTATAGTTTATCTGGGTCACGATTCACAGAAAAGGTTCTCACATTTTTATATATTTAAATAGATTGTTTAAGATACTAACAAACAAAATATTTTAATATTATAATGAAAACAAAAAACCTTCACATTTGTTCACTAAATTGTCAAGGTTTAGCGAGAAAAGAAAAACGCTTTAGGTTATTTTCTTGGTTTCAACAACAGAAATGCGACATTTTAATGGCACAAGAAACTCATTTGTCAAAATATATGATAAAGCAAATTAACAATGAATTCCATGGCAAACATCTTCATAGCCTAGGCACAACAAATTCGAGGGGAGTGTCTTTCTTTATTAACAAATCACTCGATTTTAAATTGATTAATGAATTTTGTGATAAAGAATGGAGAATTATCATAATCAATATGGAAATTCAAGATAAGATTTTCACCTTATTAAACTTGTATGCACCTAATGAAGTTCATGCAAGAAACCAATTTTATAAAAAAGTAAGTAAATTAATTGAAGAACACACTCTTGGTGCTTTAATAGTAGGGGGAGATATGAATGATCTACTCTCAACTTTAGATACAAAAAATAATAAACTACATAAAAAGTTTAAAAAGCCAGTCGATGGTTTAAAACAATTAATCAAAACACACAAACTGATAGACATTTGGAGACAATTAGATAAAGATAAAAAACAATACACTTGGAAAAGGAAAAATTCTACAAATGAAGCTAGTAGAATAGACTTTTTTATAATATGCACACAAGCACGCATAATTACTGTATCTGCTGATATCAGGCCAGCACAAATTTCATTCAAAGACCAACTAGGTATTTCACTTAAATTAGACAATTATGCAAACAATCGTGGTAAGGAATACTTTAAAATGAATAATAGTATATTAACTGATACTCAGTATAATAAACTAATAAATAAGTTAATTGAAAAGTATGAGCAAAATTTTAATTTTAGAAATGTCCTAAATCAGTGGGACCTGCTCAAAACTGACATAAGAGAGTCTACTATACAATACTGTAAATCTAAAGCCAAAGAAAGGAAAAAATAATATTTTAGTAATGGAAAACAAACTAAATATTTTAAATGAAAGATTAGACAAATTGCCTGATAGAAAAAATAATGATCTTTCTAATCAAATAAAAAACTTAGAAAAAGAATAAGAAGAGATATACTCTTTAAAAGCCAAAGGAGCCCAAATTAGATCAAGAATAAAATGTGTAGAGGAATGGGGAAAAAATACTAAGTACTTTTTAACCCTAGAAAAGAATAGTCAGGCTAAAAAATCTATAAATAAATTAATGACTAAAAACGGTGTGGTAACTGTTGATCAAAGTGAAATTTTAGATGTAAGTAAAGAGTATTATAAATCTCTGTACAAAAGCACGTGTCCTGAAACTGAAATTTTAAAGACATGCATAGATAATACCCCCATTGATCACTCATTAAATTCTTGTGAAAGTAAACAAGTAGATGGTAAATTAACCTAGAAGAGTTAACATCTTCCATTTATAATATGAAATTAAACAAAACTCCAGGAAAAGATGGTTTAACAGTTGAGTTTTGTCGACAATTTTGGCCAAAATTAAAACATATTGTATTGAATGTTTCTAACACATGTTATGACAAAGAAACTCTATCTGATACCCAAAAGATTGGGATCATATCATTGATTTAAAAAAAAAAGACCCTTTGTCCCTAGATAACTACCGTCCAATTACTTTGTTGAATACTGATGTAAAACTTATTACATATACTTTAGCACAAAGACTTAAAAAAATCTTACCCCTTATCATACACAGAGATCAAAATGGTTATCTTAAAAATCGATATATAGGATTCAACGTACGTCTAATTCAAGATATTATAGATTATACAGAAAACTTTAATATGGATGAAGCTATACTATTTATTGAATTTTCTAACGCGTTCGACTCACTAGAATGGGACTTTATGCTGGAATCATTAAAAAAATTTGGATTTAACGAGTCTTTTCAAAAGTGGGTCAAAACACTATATCACGACATAAAAGGATGTATTTTAAATAACGGGTGGATCTCTGAAATCTTCGGGATTCAACGGGGAATTAGACAAGGATGCACTTTAAGCGCTTTATTATTTGTTTTATCAGTCGAAATACTGGCTTGTAGAATAAGAGATAATAATGATCTGAAAGGGATACAAATAAAAATTGATAAAAAAACTCAGCCTAAAAATCTCACAACTAGCAGATCATACAACTCTCTTTTTAAGATCTTAAGATGAAATAAAACATGCACTAAATTTAATAGAAACTTGTGGATCTTTTTCGGGACTTAAACTCAATAGAAACAAAACAGAAGGTATATGGCTAGGTAAACTAAAACACTGCAAAGACAAATTTGAAAGTATCAATTGGAAAGATAAAGTGAAAAGTCTTGGTATTTATTTCGGCCTTAACAAAAAAGAATGTGAAATACTAAATATAGATAAACAGTTTGAAAAATCAGAAAGGATACTTAATGATTGGAAGAAAAGAAAATTGAGTATGATTGGAAAAATAAATATAATTACAACACTAGTTATTCCCAATATAACATATGTTGCTTCATTGATAAATCTGAGCACTGAGATTATAAGTCAATTTAAAAAAATCTTATTTAATTTTTTATGGGAGGCTGGTAGCGAGAAAGTAAAACGCTCAGTGTTAAGAAAAAAATATATTGAAGGGGGATTACATATGACGGATATTAATGCATACATTGAGGCTATCAAAATAAATTTTGTTAAAAGATTAACTGATGAAACTTGTGCTAACTGGAAAATCATACCTACCTATTATTTCAGGAAGTTTGGGGAAAATAATTTAATATTTAAAATGAATCTTAATTCTCATAAGTCACTAGAAAACCTAAAAAACTTACCTACATTTTACTTTGAAATCTTGAAATGTTGGATTAAAAGCGGGGGGGGGGGGGGGGGGGGGGGGGGGGGAAGACAAAAGTACCTGATAATTATAGAGATATAAGAAAGCAAGTTATATGGGGAAACCAATATATAAAAACACATGGCAAAAGTTTATATTTTAGTCATTGGGTAGAGGAAAACATAATTTTTGTTAATGATGTAATTAATGATAAAGGAGAAATTTCTCATAATGTATTACATAAACTTAAAAAGAAACAAAATTGGATCGCTGAACTGTGTACTCTTCGAAAAGCTTTACCCAAAAGTTGGATCCAGAAATTAAAGAGTAATATATCAAAACATACTAAAATCAACATAACACAAGACATTAAAATGTTCTGTAATGGATTGTACATGTATTACAATCTAGACAAAATTAAATTTAAAGAAATGTATAATATTATAATCAGGTCAAATAAAGAGCTTCCAGTAGGTTTTTGCTCATGGAAAAAACAACCATCATGCGAAAATTTTATTTATTTCATTAAGAAAAATCTATCTTTTACCTTTCTTTTTTTTAAAAGATAATAGATTAAAAATGTTCAGATGGAAACTATTGCATACTATTTTAGCTATCAATCATAATCTGTACGGCTGGAAAGTAGTTAACAGCGAAAACTGTGAGATATGTTTCAAATCTGATAGCTATATTCATTTCTTCTTTGAATGCACAAAGATAAAAAAATATTGGACATTACTACACAAAATATTTATGTATCTTAATATTGGTCAACATGTTTTTTGTCTTAAAAATCTTGTAATAAGATACAAAATTGAAGACGTTGAATCTTATGTACTTAATCATATTATAACAATTGTTTGCTTTGTGATTTATAAATGCTTTTATTTTTTATCAGAAAAGAGAACTAAATATGTGAATATGATGTTAGTCATAAAAAAATATTTTGAAACACAAATTTTATATCATCCGAAAAATTCCTTTTTGAGAAAATTTCTAACGAAAATCTTAGAAATTTGATTCTCTATCTGTTTTGTTTGCATTTGGATGACCTAGAATCACAAAAATATCATTGAAATAAAAAGAAGAAAAAGACACGATATAAACAGAGTACGGACAGATATTTATTTTCATATTGTTTTTTGAAATGTTGATTGTTACCATTTTAGGATGAAATATCATTACATGTATTTAAAAGGTGAGTCTGTGCTTTTTTGAATTTACGGCATATTTTGAATGGGTCTTTTCCAATTCTATTACCCTGCACTTTAAATACATTTCATTGTTTTCTAAATGGGGAAACAGTTTGCAATCTTATTTTTAACTGGACTATAAACGATAAAAAACAACAAAGTACAGGAATATCAGTTAACGATGTGTAAAAAGATAAATTTTCATTGGATACACCATTTGAAAGGCGTGTAATAATATGTTTGATCGACGATATATATTTCAGTATTCACTTGACAACCATAAAAAATAAGGGTAACGTTTCTGTCATATGTATATACACCTATAAGCATACGGAAAAAGACTTTGAGAGATCTATTAAGGTATGTTTGTAATGCTTAACTAGATGTCCTAGCCCTATATTATAAATTACAAATAATTGAATAGTAACAAATTAGATTAAATAACTCAGCGATTAAATAATGATATTATCTTGATCTTCAACTTCAACAAATCAACACCTATAGTTGTTTACTTCTATGTCATTTGGTCTCTTGTGGAAACTTGTCTCATTGGCACTCATACCAGATCTTATTTTTATATTATATTAGATGTGAGGTTTGAAGTGATGATACATTTCATTTACTATTTTGATTTCATCGTACGCGATTTTATCACAATATTTATTTTTCAAAATTATCAAGACTATTGGTGCCACTAATGGATAAGGTGGTGAATATCAGTTTTACACACATGTTAACCTTGGTGTGTCTGATGTTTTGTTTATCATTTACCATCAAATATAGGTATGTTTCTGCTGGTAGAAAGTATAAGATACTAAATCATTTGTACTTACAATAAGGTGTTCAATCATAATCATTTTGGGACACATGAGTTTACCATGGGTGTTTGATGGGGCTCGTGTTGTTCAGTCTTTAGATTTCTATCTAGTGTTTTATCGACTTGATCGTCTTTTCGTCGATTTTCGTTTTTTTTTTTGCCATGACGATGTCACTTTGTTTTCGTCTAATGAGGTGTAAATTTCACTTTAGTGTCCGCCTTTTTATATATGAATATATTTAGTTAAAAACAAACAAACACTTCCTATTTTCTATAACTATGCAGGAAAAGAGACAACAGTTTTATAATTTCAGTTTTCATATACAACTCTGCAATAAATGACAAAACCAATTTATTCAAAATTGAGTTTCTGTTTTCAGATTTTCTTTTCTAAAAACAAAACACGAATGGACGCAAATAAAGTCGGACTTTGGACGGACACCTATATTTTATACAAATGTTGATTGCGACCATGCTTATTTGACGTATTATAACATCAATTTAAATGGTAGAAAAATCATTTTGATATAAATAATGAAAAATAAAACTATATACTTTGTTAAGAAAGTTAGTATAAAAAATATTTCAAATCTGTGTTTGACGTTTTCTTGTAATTAAAGCTCAACTGAAACTGGTATTTTCCATGTTATTTTGTCCTACACTTCAAATACATCTGATAATAGTGAAACAATTTGGTATTTTTAAAATGATCGTGGAAAAACATTTTTTTTTTAACAAATTACAAAAAAACAAGGAAATCATTTAGGCAATAATTATCTGTTGATTAATCGACTGTGTTGTACGTGTTGTATTTCCAAGTACAAATTAGGTTTTCTTAAATAAATGTAGGCACACAGCTGTTTAATGTAACACAAAATCTCTTCGGTTCAGAATAATTTGCTGTTTTATGAGTAATGTCGTCTTACTGCGCATTGTTACCTTTTGGGTTAAAACATTAAATATCTGCCTCATCGTGTCGGTCTCGTAAACAACCGGATACTTGATAATTGCAGCTATGTACATGTTTTTTTTTATCTAATATTTTCCTGTTGGTGTCCATTTTTCGGAAATATAATAAAAAGTAAGGGTCACCGGGATTATTTTCACGCTGCAGGTTGTGCGAAATTGTCATATCTTGTATAGATAATGCATGGAAAACCTAATTTTGTGTCATAAAACGAAAACTACACCATAGAATTTTGAGATAAAATATATGAAGATAGCTCTAATAATAGACTTTCTGATAAGAAAAAGAAAAAATGGGGTCACCGAACTCGTTTTTTGCTACATAATAAAAAAGATTAATTCCTAACACATTCTATTGTAAAAGTTACTTTATCTGAATTATCTCCCCTTACATTTGAGTAGTCTCCCCTTATGTGGCAAAGTTGAAAAAAATGAATCAAACAGAAATAATCAGTTTTTTTTTTGTAAAATACATCCGTAAATATGATAAAACATGTCATTTTCTGTATTAACCTGAAAAGTCTAACATATGAATCAACTTCTACTCTCGAAATTTGCACATTTCACTAAAGATCTAGACCGATCGTTATCTGGTATTTCGAAATCCAAGATGGAGGCTGACACTCGAGCCACCTTAAGAGAAAAAAATAAACAACAAGTCGAATAATACAAGTGAAAAGTGAATATATTGTGTAAGGGCAGGCAATTGTTGATTATTTGTTTTGTCGTACAGACTATCATGATATACGGATATAATTTGAAGTAATAACATGTGTTTTATTTGAGTTGACGTTTAAATTCAGACAAATTATTTCTACCCCTCGTAATTATATTATTTTTTTTCAATTTTCAATTATCAATTCATTCAAATTATAATCAGCTTAAACGTTAGGTTTAAAAACAAAATACAACTGCATTCACATTTTATGTGATTGAACTGTGATGTTGGTTGACTTCAAATGTGAGAAATGAGTATTCAAAAAATCTTGACCTTGCTTAAACATAGATGTATGGATGTACGTGATTTGATTTTTTCTAGTAAATATATTATAAAAGTAGCAATGATTGCGTTTGATATTTATGTACATGGTTTAGCCCACGAAATATCAGTGTTGTAAGAACAGATGTGAATCGAATTCAGCAAACATTAATTCATTTAATGTCTGTAAAACCATGGAAAGCCGTATATAAAAAGTCATCCTTTATAAGACAAATATGTAAGTATATGGCATGCCGTTCTCGTCAAAACAATATTGTAGCCATTATTCGAAAAAAAGAATCATTGCTTTGTAAAAATCGAACTCTTTCAAACCGACCGTGTGGATGATACATTAACTATTGACCAAATTTTTCAGAAGTATGAGTAAAGTCTAGGTAGGAAAGGTCAACTATGATCAGATTTATTTCTCACAGTTTTCAACAATAGATACCCTAAGGTACCTTTGGGGAGTCATATACATATTCAAAATCATCCTAAGTAAGTTAATGAGATATACTCGCAAATAGCAGTGTATAATTTTTTCATTCTCATTGTGTGTATTTTAATTTTTTTAAATTTAGTTTGTACTTTTATTTCTAAGTGTGTTTTTTGAACTTTAATAATCGTAGTGTGTTTCTCTTAGATCTCATTGCATAATTTGTAATTCTCAGTGTGAACTTTATTTTTAATCCAAGTGTTTTTTTTATTAATTTGTATTTTTTTCTTTTTATAAAAATGGCTTAAACATAATTCAGACGTGAACGGTTTGCCATAAAAGTAAAGCTTAGATAAAGACTCAAATGACTTTAGTATTTTAGTTATCGGGAGAATAAAAAAATATGTCACCTCATGCATGTTATACTACAATGTTCTTGTAAAACAATAGAGTGAATGCTGTTAAAGCTTAAGAAATATTTACTTTTTCATTGTATACATAATCTTAAAGGGCGTGTTGTGATATAATTGATTGGTAATTAAAAATTTAAATGTTTACATGGAAATTATAACAAATAAGGATGGAATTATTTTCATATGTAGAAGTATAAACAACTATATACACAAGGACAACACGATTGAGAAAGATAGAATTAGGTATGTATGTAATGCGAAGAGTTCTTAGTGCTTTATAACATTTTACATATAATCTAGCAGTAACAAAATTATTATTGAATAAATGAAGCGAATAAATAACAATCCTATCTTTTCTTCATCTGCACTGAGCTAGCATACTATCAGATGTTTGATTTAGATTGATAATAAATTTTCGACATGACCGTATATTTTTAGTAGTAATTTGACAACCGACAGTGCCACTGGTGGAGCAACCAGTGCGTATACGCCTTGAGAACATGCTGTTTGTCTTCTCATCTTACTGATTTGATTGTTCCCTTTGTTGCAAACTGTTCGGATGTCCTCGGTGGTCTTCGTGCTTGTATTATGAGTAGGAGATTAACATGCAAGATCTTAGGTAGGTTCAAACCCAGAAACATTTAATCACATTGATGTTTGTTGCTGCGTCACTAACAATTGAAGAGTGATGGGATATATTTTAGTCGACTCCGAGTCAAAACTAGTCGTATTTGTTTAGTAAATCGGAACAATTAAATTGTGATAATGCCCATTAAAAATCAGCATGTAAATAAACTACTGAGAAAAGTTTTGTTTGTTTTATCTTATCTTATCTTGTGAACTAGCACGTAAATTGTCTGGCTTAGCATCGATGTCTATGTCAAATCAGGGTCCACATTTTCATATTCGTCACCAAATCATCATTGTGTTTAACATTTACGAAAATAAAAAGAAATACATTCCGCTAACACTATATAAATTGTAATGTTGATTTAAGGCAAATGTCATAACTCATTGAAATAACAGTTATTTCTTGTTATGTTGTTGAAATGAAAAGAGATAAAACAGCTGTATAATTTTTTCCTATATTATTTTCAGAATGGCATCAAATTTTTCAAATGGAACTTTTACAAGTTTGAGTGAAATGGAATACCAAGAATTTCTGGACAGAGGGATTCCAGCTACAATATTCCTGCTATTTCTGTCAGTCGTAGGAACAATTGGCAATATACACACAGTCGTAGTATATACGTTATCGCCAGTCATGGCAAGATATTCTGTTCGAGTTTTTATCATTTGGCTATCCCTTATCGATCTTACATCATGTTTGTTGTGTATGCCTTTTGAGATTTTTGATATCCGATACGACTACACATTTTCATCTCTAGGTGCTTGTAAATTCTTTAGATTTCTAAATCACATTGTAACAGTGGCCTCCGGCTGTTTATTGACTGCAATTGCCATTGAAAGATATAAGATAATTGTCAAAAACTTGCCTGTACTATTTGCTAATTCACAAAGGTCGAATGTCATATCTGCCAGTCTGTTAGGATTATCCACGATATTGTCAATTCCTGCAGTTATATTTTACGGTCTGAACGAAAAAAAAACAGACATTGTTGGCCTTACAGGCAAGGATTGTAAAATTTTATCAGAGTATCACAGTATACGTTATGTAGGAGTTTATTACAGTATATTACTAATTACAGGTTCAGCTGGCACTGTCATGTGCATCGTTTCATATGGAAAAGTACTGTGTAAAATTTGTACTCGGAAAGATTGGAGGGAATCATTAGGAAATAAACCAGATTCGTCCTCCAATTTACCTTCGGAAATAAGTTCGGGGACGACCCAGGTTATATCTACTATTCAAAATCGGAAGGAAAAAATAAATAAAGTGCACATTGAAATTTCGTACAGTGAAAAGAAAAAGGCTACTCGTTCAAAACACAATCTTGGAAATGCGATTCGACTAACAATAAGCCTCATGACAGCAACCGCTATTTCCTATTTAGGATATATGTCATATGTTTTCACATTCATGGTCGTAATGCTAAATCCTAAGATGTATCAAAATATTGTTAGACCAGTATCCAACATTTTAGTGCGCGGATATTTTGTCAACAATGCAGCCAATCCTATCGTATTTTGTCTTTTGGATAGAACTTTTCGACAGGAATGCTTGAAATTGTATGGAAATATATTTTTAAAGAAAACTATCTCGCCGGTATTACCCTGATTTAACTTTCTTTCAAACACAACTTAATAAAACGTGTATAAATAAATTTTGATATAAGAGAATGGCGAAAAGGGTATTATATTTCCAAAATGGCGTATGTGTGACTGTCATTGCTTGAAATGTTATATATGCCAATTTGTAGTGATTAAGATTATAACACAATGTGGACTGTTTATATTCATAGCTTACTAAAATGTATTGTTTTTGTTCATTGTTGAATACCGTACAGGGACCCATAGTTGCTTGCATCCAAGTCATTAGATCTCTGACGGATTGTTGTCTCATTGGCAATCATAGCGCATCTCCTTATTTGTACCTTCGCAGAAACACTGCCGAACGTGGCGTGTTGCACGTTTGCGGACAGATAGATAGACGCGCGTTTTGTCTACAAAAGACTCATCAGTTACGCTGGAATAAAACAAAGTTCATAAATAGTCCAACAACACAAAATACCTCAGATTACACAGTTTGGATGAAATTGAGAATTGAAATGGGTAATGTGTCAAAGAGACAACAACCCGACCAAAGAGCAGAAAACAGACGTAAGCCACCAATGGGTCTTCAACACAGCGAGAAAATCCCGCACCCGGGACCGACTTCAGCTGGCACAAAAACAAAAATGTGTACTAGTTCAATGAAAATGGACGTCACACTAAACTCCAAAACATATAAATGAACTAAAATTAAAAAAAACATCCAAGACCAACAAAAGCCAGGGGCTCCTGACTTGGATCAGGCGCAAAAATGAGACGGGGGTTAAACATGTTTTGTGAGATCTCAATCCTCCCCTATACCTCTAGCCAATATAGAATAAACAAACACACAGCAATACGCAGAGTAAAACTAAGTTTAAAAGAAGTCCGTGTCCGATGTAAGAATAGATAACAAAAGAAACTAAGCAAAAAGACAATGATACATAAATTAACAAAGGATTACTAGCAGTTACTGATATGCCAGCTCCACACCTCAATATAACTGATTTTAATATATTGTCTTCATCATATGAAAATCAAGCACAATCTCTCCCGTTAGGGGTTTAGTATCATACCATCATACAATATATGAGAAGAACATAACCCGTAGCATGCCAACAACTGGTTTTAGAATAAATGTGTTTATTTCCGATGCAAATACACTATGAGTGAATCAATATTAATACCAAAATATATCATCTTTAAGGTATAAAACCACTAATTTATAGCCCCATTGCTTTCTATGTTAAATTCTGCAATTTCAAGCATAAATGGCTACTTTATCTTAAGTTCAAATAAAGTGGCAGTTATTTCATGTCAAAACTGTACCTTATGCTGACTTGTGCTGAAAAAATCAACATACCTTTAATTGCATATTAGAGCGTACTGGTTCCCGGAAGTTTGATAGTACAAAAACAGGAACTTCTGATCTGAACAACAGGCCAAATGAGCCCTCCTATTAAAATTTCCTATACTTCTTTATTATTCAAATAAAACTTTCAACAAGGGTTCTACAGTGACCCCAAGTCCCCAAGCTTTCATTTGATACTAAAACTACCCAAATATTCCCACTATTGACAAAGATACAGCTATGCGTAGGAACTATTTTGTTTAAAATATGTACTATTTTCTTGTATGTTCTTTCCGACCGGGCCTGAATTAGTGGTTCTATACCTTAATGACCTGACAACAGTATCGTAACTTGATCTCTTTTGAATAAGTCTGTTTAAGGGTTTGGTTAGCTTTTGAGGTGAATGTCGACATTTTTGTGCTAAGTATAGAATAGTACCATAAAAGATTGGATGTGAAATACCTGAACGTGTAAGATGTTATATATGGAGTTTGCTTCATCTAAATGAATTTTATAAATAATTTTGTAGTTGTTGTATCTAATGCAATTTTTCTGCACTTGAATGAACAATCGAAATTTGATATCATTTATTGTTATCTTTTACCATCACAAGTAATCATAATTTTAATCAACAACAGGAAGGAGGACACATTTCTAGCGCCAAACGATATCTTTAAAATAAATCTCACTCGTTTCATCACGGTTTATTTATGGATAACTTATGTCTGATTAAAGATTGTACTGTGACAACTGTTGTTTTTTAATTGATCGTGATCAATATTTTTAGCAAATAATCATACAAAATAAACATATTCATGTCAATATACAGATGTAATATCCCAATATATCGGCTGTCCTGGTGAACTAACCTGCCTACTTCTGTAGAAATCAAATGGTTTTTATTGAATTTAAGTGTAGCTAATTTCTTTGTGTAAATGCTTAAATATGACTACATTTGAAATATAAATATCTAAATACTTTTTCCCCCGAGTTTCAATATTGCACTACTTAGTATTATGTGACAGATGCTCCCATCGAGCCACTTGAATCACTGATGTTGTAGCCATAACAGTTACAATGTCTGCCAATTTGATTGGGAATACGGAAATTTGATCACCGTGGCTAATTTTCGCGGCTTGTATATTCACTTCCGACGCTTCAAATTCTACGACAAAAATACTACATGTAATTTAAGGACGAAGTAGTTAAAGAATAAATCCAAATGTACAGTCTATAGGAGGGCAAACCGACAGAATTGTTGACTTGCAATAACAAGTTGTATTTGGTATCCTACATGTAATGAAAATACCCACACATTATAAATTTGGTGGGTTCAAAGCGCTTTCTCAATTTACCTTTTTCAGCAACACACACAAACCTAAAACGTTGAACATAAGGATGATTAGATAGGTGTACACACTGCGATGAACTATATAACCAAAAAGGACACACAAAAAATTATCAAAATTATTCGAAGGTAAAATGTGCATGTGTGTGACTTTGCAACAGATTTTCCATATCTACAATCTGCATTGTTGCTCGGATTTTTTAACCTTAAAAGAAACTGTACATCTTTCAAGAAATACTTTGACTGGAATGGGCAGAATATTTATGCACTTCGAAAAACAAAAAGGACACTATCTGCAAAAGGGACTGTATACGCTGACTGGGAAATCTAATAGCAATAGTATCTTTAGAATAGAGGTGGAAGATACCGAAACGGATATTCAAAATCATAAGTATAAAAACAGACAATGACCTGGCAAATAACGACAAATGACCAAAAGACAAACAAAAGGCTAAAAACCACAACGCAACGTGAGAATCCGGAGATGATCTCAGGTGCTTTGGATGAGCAGATCCTGCTCCTCCACATATGGTTCCTGGCATGTTGCTATTGTTAGTACACAAGTCTTATTCGGTATGTCACATTCCAAGAAAAGAGGGCGGACATAGGTTATGACAATTGAAACATATCCGTCGTCATATATGAAACAGATATTTAATAACGTGTAAACAACTCGTGGTTTAATATCTTCCTTGTTAGCAGCAAACCTCTATAAAAGTAAATCATGATGGAAATGCAAGCTCTGGGATATGGTAACCGGGAGATTTATACTCCTATTAGAAGGTGCTGCAGTTAAGTTGCTACATAAAAACAGAAAGTTCACAACTTGGAAGCTAAACAATCATCTCTTTTGTCATAAAAATTAGTTCTCAACCGACCCTTTTGTCAGTTTCTAGGCGTAAGTCAAGATGTGAGGCAGTCTTAAATGTATCTGTCGTATACTTTATGTTTTATACGATTGGATAGATGCGTTCGACATAGTCAATAAACTTTTAGTGATAGAACATCATGTATATAGCAGAACGTGAAATTGAAGGATCATGCTTGCTTTTTATTTTATTCTTTCTAAGAATTTCCTGTATAAAAGTTGTCTAATATGACTAAAGAAACACGTCGACAAGGAGATGAGCACAGTTAGTTCTCATAGGAATTCCGATTGTTTGGTTAAAAACACGTCCTTCAAACTTAACATGTATGTTGTCGATCAAGAAATCAAGCATCTTGATAACGTCAGTTTCAGAGATTTAGTTTGAATCAGTATTTTTATTTTCAAACGTAGGATTTATTTCTCCCTTAAACAAGATATATGTGTTTACGTTAGCAATGTCTGTTTTTATGAAACAAAGTAGGACCAATTCGTTCAATTTGTATTTTTCTAATTTGGTATTAGGAGTACCAGTGTAAAGGGTAAACAAGTCAAAGATTTTAACACCATTACAAGTGGAAAGAGACTTAGATTTATGTACTTTGGAAATTTTTTATCATCTGATTCACCCCGCCCGAGTATGAAGTCCGTTTTTTTATGATCAAATTGATGTTTATATTTTTGGAAAGAGGTTTCGTGAAGCACTTGGAAGACCCAGGACTTTATCGTTGTTTGTAAGGACACTGTATCAAATACAGTGTAGTATAATCCAGTTTTTCATCGTTGGTTGATATTCTAAAGAAACATAGAACACACCCAAGTTGATTCAGAATTTCCTCGTTGGTTTATGCTGTAAAGGTAAATTTGGAGTTTCAATGTGAATTGTCAATATCTTATTCTTTTATCAAGCAGGCTTTGTAATGTGACTCACACAAACCCACACGATGTTGTTTAGAGCTTTATCTGCTGGGTCAACAACATATTTGTCATGGAGGCAGGACATATGCTTAGTTACATTTGGGTCTTAATGTAGCATATGTGTTCACATACCCATTCAGTTTTTTAATTCTTATTTGTTTCAATAGCGTCACAGCATTATTACATTCAGAAAGAGTATCTACGTTTTTTTTCACGTTTAGCCCATTGGTGAACATAATCCTTGACTAAATTCATCAGTATTTTAAAGTTTCATTTCCAGTTGATGGATTTATGATCGCATTATTATGAACATTCGAATAACACATTTCGCAGAGAAGTGTTATTGGCCATGTATATGTCACCAGTAATGATCAATAGTGGAAGATATTAAATGGTCGTAAACGGTCATGTTGATAAATACATTATCTAAAAACTAAAACCTTAAGTCTTATTAAGGGTTTAAAAAAGAGGCTGAATATATCAAACTGACAACGCCATGGCAAATAAAGGCAACAGTAGTATACTGCTGTTCGAAAACTCATAAATCGATAGAGATAAAAACAAATCCGGGTTACAAACTAAAACTGAGGGAAACACATCAAATATAAGAAGAGAACAACGACACAACAAAAACCAACATTAAAATGTAACACACACAGAAACGAACTATAATATAACAATGGCCATTTTCCTGACTTGGTACAGGACATTTTAAGAAAAAAATGGTGGGTTGAACCTGGTTTTGTGGCATGCCAAACCTCCCGCTTTTATGGCAACGTCAAACACAACACCAAAACGACAACATCACATGACAGGACCACAATACAAATAAATGGGAGAACATATAGGACAAAGAAACACACGAATAATAGCTAACAAAAGGTACTAGGCTTAAAATTCAATACGTCAGACGCGCGTCTCGTCCACACAAGACCAACCAGTGACGCTCAGATGAAAAAAGTTTGAAAGCCAAAACAAGTACAAAGCTGAAGAGCACCGAGGACCAAAACTTCCAAAAAGTTGCGCCCAACACGGCCAGGGTTTTCTGCCTGAGACAAGAACATCCTTATCATTTAGAATAATTCATAATTCTGCAAACAGTAAATTTTAT